TGGCCAGTATTGGGAGGATCATTGTGTCTCCGTCAGGGGGTCGTGGAGTGGTGGTCCAGCAGGCGTCACGGAAGCGTTGTGTGTGGGGACATTTTAGGAGGTAGTGAATAAGGGTGCGGCTGTCGGGTCTTCTGCATAACGCACAAGAGCGTTGCTCAGGGGATGTGGGGATACCAATCTCCCAAGCAAAGTCATACCCAATGATGATACGGGCAGTGGCGTAGCTAGAGTGTGTGCTGCCCAGGGCAACCCTTGAGTTGCCGCCCCAGTGACCTACAAAAAAATATTGCACAGTGACTCATACTTTTATATATATATATATATATATATATATATATATATATATATATATATATATATATAAATATATATATATATATATATATATATATATATAATATATATATATATATATATATATATATATGTATATATATTAAATAGTTTGCCTTACTGTTGTCAAAAAAAGCCACCCCGATCAAAGTAGGGGCTTATGTCTGGGTGGCTTTTGTCGGGGGGGCTTTTGTCTGTACCCCAGTGAGGATAGTGTCTTAGTATAAAATCGCAATGCTGTGAAACAAAATCTTAATATTTAATCTCATTACCGCAGCAAAAGTCACATCAATATTTTTTAACCAATACTTTAATATTTCTTACCTTATAGTATTATGTCTTCCAACGAAGTAAATAACTGGATCGAAAACACAAGAGAACTTAAAAGTCGTCTAGCCTCCCCTCGTCTTGTCACGATGGAGACTTGTGGAGAACTGAAGTGAATTGCTTGTAACTGGTGGATTGGTCGGCTGTACATGAACTGATATGACCCGAGACTGCATGGTTTTGCAGCTACTGGAGACGTTAATTCTTCCCTTTGTATCGGCGGCAAGTTAATCCTCGTCGTGTCTGACCTAACACCTGACCCACACCACATGAGCTCACTGGCGTACTTGTTTGAAGTTGTTTCCTTAATCCTCAACAGGTTACAGGTTGTGTGTGTGGGGGGGGAGCATAGCAAGGGTGTACGTAGCTCATGACGTGGCCGTGATGATGTGGGTCAGGTGTTAGGTCAGACACGACAAGGATTAACTTGCCGCCGATACAAAGGGATGGATTAACGTCTCCAGTAGCTGCAGATATGGGTGATGAGCAGACCCAAAAGTGCCGCCCCCCAAAAGTGCCGCCCGGGGCGGACCGCCCCCCCGCCCCCCTAGCTACGCTAGTGGATACGGGCAGCAATCACGTCCCCCTTCGCGACCCTTTCCCGTAGACGTACGAGAGGTCAGGAAGTTTACGGAGGACATCGTACCATGGCGGTGGGACCGAGTTCCCAAGGTTATACTTTTGAATAAACTGATGATGTGGGTCAGGTGTTAGGTCAGACACGACAAGGATTAACTTGCCGCCGATACAAAGGGATGGATTAACGTCTCCAGTAGCTGCAGATATGGGTGATGAGCAGACCCAAAAGTGCCGCCCCCCAAAAGTGCCGCCCGGGGCGGACCGCCCCCCTAGCTATGCTAGTGATTCATTCTCTACTACTAGACGGTCCTGCAACTGCCTGGCTAATACTATCGACGGGCGAGGGTAGGATTGCCATATCTGAACATTCAAAAGAGGACGCTCCCGAAGACATCCCCCCCGCCAGGCACACACAGGCTAATATACAACATACATGGTATAGAAATCTAAAAAATAAAAAAATACCTTTGCTTAAGGCTGAACATCTTCATTCCCTTAGCTGCAGTCTTCTTCCCCCACTGTGTGTGTGACTTTATGTGCACATGCATACTTTTCTGTAGATCGGATCGTTTTCAGTATTGGATGAATGCTCTTTAGAAAGGTGTAGAAGTCACTGTAAGGTGTTTCTCGGAAGTTGTACTGTACAGTCCGCATGCCTCTCATTGTTTCAACACTCAATTTGTTCCTTTCCTTTGTCCATTGACTTTGCATCGGTGAAAAAACTCTTTCTACATTTGCATTGAGATGATATAGCAAAGAAGAATTGTGCAATTCTTAGCAATTCAGAGTGGCATTCAATGTTCTTTGATTTTTCAAAGTATCTGGTCCACTTTTTATGTGTTGGCAGATTGCTAAATTCATCACTTGTAATTTTCCACAAACTGCTTCAGGTTACTAACTTGGTCAAAACACTTCATCAACTTTTACCTCCTTATCAATCAAATATTTGACCCCTAAGTTGACAACACCGTACAGGCGTTTAAGTGACTTATCAGCTGACGAAAACTGAAAGAGATCTCTACGGTTTCCACCTTCCCTCTCTTTCTCTCCCGTCATTACAGTTTCATGTTTTTTTTTCCGTGGAGAAAATGATGGAAGCTGAAATTCCGGACTTTTGAAGAATTTTAAAAATTCCTTCCGGATGAAGATTTCGAGACCTAAATGGAGGACATGTCCGGGAAAATACGGACGTATGGCAACCCTAGCGAGGGGTAAATTTAATACTTTTATCCTCTTCACCACTGATTGGCTCGTTAGCCGCTTGGTCACGCACTGTTTGCAAGTATTAGGCATGTACTGGCTCTCTGTTATGCACTCTTGGCAAGTACTGGGCATGCACCGGCTCCTGAATGTACCTGAGCCTGCTCCAGTGTTGGTCAAGTCTGGTCTTTAAAGAACTCACACTCGGTGCCGTCACAACACTCTGGCAGATTGTTCCAAGAGTTCACAACTCTCACTCCAAAAAAGTTTGTCCTCACAGTTTTCTGGGCTTGCAGCTTCTTCAATCTTGAGCTGTGACCCCTTGTGGGGCGAGCGTCCGCCAGCTCCAAGTAAGGACACTCGACTTAGTAGTGCCCCTTGAGATGCTTATACACCCCAACTAGGTCGCCCCTTGCCCGTCTGTAGTATAAGCTAGGCAAGTTCAGACGCTCCAATCTCTCAGGGTAGTTGAGGTGCCGAAGTGCAGGCACAAGTCTGGTGGCCCTCCTTTGAACATTTTCAACCAACTGACAGTCCCTAGCATATCTCTGGGACCAGACAGGGGGACAGTACTCCAGATGGGGAAGCACTTCACTCTTGAAGATCGTTACGAGGGACACTGTCTACATATCTGAACGACCTTCTTATAAGACCTAATAATTTAATCACCATCATGTCCCCGTCAACGGTAACAAATAATGTTATTAGGAATGTTTCTCCATATCAAATACTATACAGTGCAGTACTGTATGTCCTAATGACCCCATTGTAAGCTGGTTTCTTTAGAGCTGTGTCTCTGTAGGAATACATCCTAAGCTTTCAAGGGGCATTACTGTAGGTACACATTATTCTTATGGCAAAAAAAGTGTGCTAAAGGTTGCAAAAATTTATTGTTTCATATTAAAAAAGATATTCCAATTTCAGAAATTAAACAGAAATAAGTTTGATCACATGCAATACATTAGCTCATACAGTCCCTATTGTGTAGGAATGAGACAATGTTTTTTAAACATTTGATATCCTTCATAAAAACATATATTTCATTCTTCAACAAAACAAAAACTTTAATAGGTACTTAGTTACTAGACAAAGTTTTTCCTTATAAAATATATACTGTTATACATGTAAATGTTGTATGATCATCACCTAGAAAATTCAGGGCTAAAACTTTTCTTTAAGCACCTATAGTAAGTACAGTACTTCCATGCTAACCTGCCCCATAAGTCACGCCCCTCTTCTATAAAAATAGCCGATTGGTTCATAGAAAACGTTCGTGTAGCTGTCCACTTACTCAAACTAAATGTCTTCACAATTGGTAAGCAGACCTGTTATTCTTTAAAATAATATTAAATATCTGGAATATAAAAATGCAAATGATTTCAAAGCATTAGCACTTCAGTGAGGATATTAGAAAATGCTAAATATTTATCACAAAACGTCGAAGTAAAAAATGAAATTGCTTTTGAACGAAGTCTTTTCATTATTTCTTTGTTTTGCACCAAACATAAAACAAACAGAAACAAGTGATATCAAACATATAGCACAATAGGGAATGAAATAGTTTGTATGGCTGGATATATCCCACTGGACTTGGTGGGAATTTTGCTCATCTCGACCACAAGAGCCAGCAGACGTTATCTGTAAACAGATGTCAGCGCTGTGGTACTTAACCAACAAAAACATCCCTCACCTAAGAGCAGATTACTAAATAATTTATCCTCTTAACTTAGCATCTCCCCATCTTAAATGCTGCTTTGTGACAAGATTTAAGTAATGATATATACATACTGTACTGTATTAAGAAGTGATGTAGAGGTTTAACATTTTCATCCTGTCATCAAGTATCAAGAAATTTGGTGCAAATGAACAAACATATTGGCCAATGAGGGACGAGGTATAGTTTATTTGTGAGTCATAGTATTCTAATGCGAGCTCTACCTTAATGGCAGTAGGAGTCAAGCCGATCATCCCATCAATGTGGCCACTAAGTCTTGTGGCTGTTCCCCTGAGCTTTTTACCTTCCCACAGACTGCACATATTTATATATAGTTTTATCAGTTACATAAATGACTTGGGATATATCCAGTCATACAAAATGAAGTTCATTATCTATTGTGCTCTATGCTTGGTATCATTTGTTTGTTTGGTACAAAACAAACAAATACGTCTTTTTTAAGTTAACCCCCAATAAGCAGTCTGAAGACACTGAACCACAGCCATCCACTTCTGGAATTAGACGTTTTTATTGTCCCTACCATGCAACCAAAACTGCACCTGATACTGACGATGACAACTGTCAACTCCTGTCTGCATGACTCCTCGACATCAACCTTCTCCCTCATCAAGTTATATTCATATTTTTTCAAGGTAAAGTGTAACATTTACTGTATGATTTCATTACAGTATTAGATATGAATAACATTTACTTAGACTGCTATCCTTTGTGTTAGGCTAACTACTAAATTTTTTTCGATTTCGAGTAATCTGCGCCAAACCCTATTTTCTCCATAAGCCCTGTTATTTCTAGTGCGCGAATTTCTACAACGCGAGGTTTTACAAGAACACAACTATCGCGTTATAGCAGAACTGACTGTAATAAAAAGACTTCATTCAAAAGCGAATTTCATCTTTGATATTTTATGATAAAAATAATTCTTAACATCGTCTCTGAAGTGCTAATGCCTTGAAATCATTTGAATTTTGATATTCCCGGTATTTAACATTACCTTACGAGAATAAAAGGCCTGCTTACCAATTGTGAACACATTTAGATGAGGGATGTGGCTTACAGGCCAGGTTAGAGTGGAAGTACTATACAGTAGTTCTTCAAATATAATAAATTTTTTCCTTTTCCTCAAAAAGTTCAATAATTCCTTTGTTATGTCCTTCAGCAGCGACAAAGTCTAACTCCAAAATGTATTCTGCTTAAATTTACTTGTTTGCTTAAGAATTTTATTGCACTAAAAAGGTTGACATTTCTGATCACTAAACATATCACTAGCTTGCTTTTTTGGGAACAAAGATTGCAAAAAGGTTCACTATTAGGTTGTTTCCTTTTTAATTCTGTGATATAAAGGTTTTCTTCTGCACTTGGTATAACAGTACTTAATCAACACTTTTTCCTGCACCTGATATGGCAGAAACCAAACCTTCATTTTCTGTAATTTGCATGGAATCCAAATCTTCATTCTCTGTAATATCAACACTTCCTTGCATGGCAGAAACCAAACCTTCATTTTCTGTAATTTGCATGGAAACCAAATCTTCATTCTCTGTAATACCAACATTTTCTGCTTTAATTTGCATGGCTAAAACAAATTTTTCATCCATCTCAAACCCTACAGTGTCTGAGGACTCAGTATATTTTTCTTTTGTTGCTGAGGTCTTATGCTGCACTATGAGATCATCTGACAAAGCAGAATCACTGCTGGTTTTCTCAACTGTTCCCACTGGAGTATCCTCCTCTATCTTTCCTGGAAACACATTCTGCCTTTTCATTTGATTCTCTTGAAGGGATGTTTGATCACTATTGGAGAACCAGAGTTGTTCAACCTCTTGAATTGTGGGTCGGTCACCAGGTTTTTCAGCAAGAAGTTTTGGAATTGATGGCATTATGTGTAACTTTACCTCTTCAGCAGATTCAAAGTTGCCATTACCCTGAACACTTAGCCATAAAATTAACATTCCTACGCTGTAAATATTATCAGCAAAGGTGACAATGTCATCTTGCTGAACCTCTGACTTAGAACACGACGTTTCTTTCAGGGAGTTTGCTGCTACTGCCGCCTTTAATGGAAGAAGTTTGGCTGAACCATCAATCAAAACCACGTTCTTTGGATGGAGATTGTTGTATGTCTCACCTTTCTGGTGATAGCGAGCCAAATCTGAAAAATACAAATAATATTTACATTTACTTATCAATGATATGTACTGTACAGCAACAGCAGAAGTTGGTCCAATGCTGCATGTTCTGGTAAAACTGAATGGGGAAAGTTGAGATACAATTTAAATGGCGAGTTATTTAGAATTTATGATATGATATTGTCTAAGCATGAATAACACCGAAGGGGATGAAGATGTGGCCCAGTTTCGCAGGTACAGTAATCCCCATTTTTTCTTTATATCACGGTTTTGACCATTCACGTTTTTTTACTAAAAAATTATATACAGTGAGTTCTGCTATAACGCGAATTTGCTCTAACGCGATTTATGAATTAGGAACGATATTTGTATAACGCGAACGCTTGTTTGCTATAACGCGATTTTTGCTTACTATTTCTCCAATTTTGTGGTATTGACTGTGAATATGGTAAAAAAGAATATCTCCAAGAAGCGTTCTGGTGATAGAATTCCCGGTGATGATCGTAAAAGAAAGGATATAACACTTGAAGAGAAGCTCGATTTTATCAACCTCAAAATCACCCTTCTCCCCCATCAAGTTACATTCATATTTTTTCAAGGTAAAGTGTTACATTTACTGAATGATTTCATTATTAGATATGAATGTAACATTTATTTAGACTGTGCTATCCTTTGTGTTAGGCTAACTACTAAATTTTTTCGATTTCAAGTAATCTGCACCTAACCCTATTTTCTCCATAAGCCCTGTTATTCTATTACGCGATTTTCTATAACACGATATTTTACAAGAACACAATTATCGCGTTATAGCAGAACTACCTGTACCAGTATACAGTATTACCCCGCCTAACGCGGTTTCACTTAGCGCGTTTTACCATATACGCGGTGCCTCGCCAGAGCTGAACTTTCACTTAACGCGGGTTTTTTCTACATATACGCGGTGAGTGTCCGGCTCGAGAGCTATTTTTAAATTCGCCCCAACCCCCACCCGCCACCCTGCCTGACTGCTTGTTTTAGCTCATAAAATTCATACAAATTACCCAGCCAGAATATAATTTACATTGCTGGAATTCTTACAATATGATGATCATTTTGAATATAAACATCATAGATTTTGCATTAGACATACAAATTTTAGATATAAAGTTTATTCTGAGTAAATATGTTATTTTTTGTGCAAAATATATGACATTTGTATTCAAAATATTCCTGGGCTTTCAAGGAATCCAGCAATGTCAATTATATTATCCTAACTTTAGTTTGAGGTATTATTTATTACTAAAATGTAAATATTCTGGTTTTCCCACACATCTGGTGAGACGGTTGGTTGGGGGTGGGGGGAAGGGAGGGACCGACCGACCGACCATCTGTTACAGTGAAGAATATTTTTTTTTTTTTATTAACTGAAGATATTTGTTTTAGCTCATAAAAGTCATACAAATTACCCGGTCAGAATATAATTTACATTGCTGGAATTCTTATAATTTGATGATCATTTTGAATATAAACATCATAACTTTGCATTAGACATACAAATTTTAGATGTAATGTTTACTCTTGAGTAAATATGTTATCTTTTGTGCAAAATATATGACATTTATATTCAAAATATTCCTGGTCTTACAAGGAATCCAGCAATGTCAATTATATTATCCTAACTTTAATCTGAGGTATTATTTAATACTAAATGTTAAAAACTCTTGAAGGGAGGATTGGTGGGAGGTGGGGGGGAGGGTTGGGACTGACCGCGCGGTTGGAACATCATAGATTTTGCATTAGACATACAAATTTTAGATGTAAAGTTTATTCTGAGTAAATATGTTATCTTTTGTGCAAAATATATGACATTTGTATTCAAATTATTCCTGGTCTTACAAGGAATCCAGCAATGTCAATTATATTATCCTAACTTTAGTTTGAGGAATTATTTATTACTATACCTGGTTTTCCCCCAAAAATTTCTCAGAGGGAAGAGCCAGCGAGTGTACTGTGAGAAGAGGGGGAGGGAGTCGAGTCCATTATTTGAATGGACATTAACTTGGCGACTGTATTTCTCTATTTCTCTTAAGTATTAATTGTGTGCATGTACCATCATAAAATTAAGATGTTAGTTTTACTAGAACATAGGTATTGCGTTGGAAAAAGTGGAGTTTGGGGATGGGCCAGTTTCTATTGGAATTAATCCCATATGTTATGTTGTTCACTTAACACGGTACCCTCTGGGTTTTATTGACCGCGTTAAGCGGGGTACTACTGTGTGTATATGTATATATGTATATATATATATATATATATATATATATATATATATATATATGTATATATATATATATATATATGTATATATATGTATATATATATATATATATATATATATATGTATATATATATATATATATATATATATATATATATATATGTATATATATATGTATATATATGTATATATATGTATATATATATATATATATATATATATATATATATATATATATATATATATATATATATATATATATATATTGTTACGAACCCTCCAATCGATTGTCATGATCTACCTACCCAGCACCACGAGCAACGCCATCTAGGGACGAGACACGAGTATGACTCGTCTTAGTTACCACTCCGGGGTTTCCCTTCTCCATATCCTGGTTGTTGCGTCACTTCCTCCAAGTCTTCTTTGTCAGCTCGAATTCGAGGAGAGAGCACTACACTCTGGGAAGTGACCACAGGATCACCTATCCTGGAAACCTACGGCACAGTGACTACCTACCGTCTTCTACAATACTCAGCCTTACTCGTCAGCCATCTCAGCTCCTCACTTAAGTATTTGTAATCTTGTATTGCCTCTCCCACCTCCACCTTGCTTCACGATTGTTTTATGTTTTATTAATATGTATATACTGTTAATGTTTAGGTTAAGTTTGGTTAAGGGTAATTTATAAGCTGAATATTTTGTTAAGGATTTATGGTACTTTATTATACACAACGAAAACTCGCATCCTTTGTCTACCCTTTTATAGTCCGATTGTCTTTGTTTTTTTTTTGTTGCCTGTTGGGATCTGGGTAGACTTTTAACTATATTCTAAATCCAACTCGTAACAATATATATATATATATATATATATATATATATATATATATATATATATATATATATATATATATATATATATATATATATATATATATATATATATATATATATATATATATATATAACCTTTTGAACAACATATGCTGGTAATATTCACCATATTGTATGTAACTTGAAAAACAGAGTGCATATCAACTTACCTTGTACAATATCTTTAACCAGTGGTAAAAGTGTTTCCGGGGGGATGGACTGCATCGAGTTTGTGACAAGCTCGTAAAGGGTTAGAGGCTCTTTGGTGCCACCTTCATCAGCCTTACAACCATCTGACATCTTCATAGGAGTTAAATTATTCACCTGGTCAATCAACTGATGGATGGCACTCAGTTTACTAATACCATTCTCAATTCCTGCTTCCACTGCTTGTACCATTGTCTTCGCAATTCCTTTTCCCTAGTTAGAGTAAAATGGAATTTTTTTTAATAAATATTTTTTCCAATTGAACTTGCTTAAAAATAAAGTATTGTGTTCCAAACTGACCATGTTGTAACGCTATGTAATGTACTTTACTAAGTCACTTGCTCTCAATAAAACAAGGAGGTGATTTAGGTGATGTGAGTAAGGAACTGCATATGAGAACCTTATGATTAAAAGTGATGAGTAATCTATTCTTAAAAAAAAAAAAAAAAAAAAAAAAAAAAAAAACAAGTGTCTTCCCTTACTCAGATGGGAAAATGAAACATTACAGTATTAGGATGTATGACTGAATATATATACACAACTCAACAATACAGTATATGACAAAGCAGGTTAAAAATATATTACGTAAGAATTGCATTATTAGATGATCACAAAGCATAGAAAATACTGTATGTAACATACTATACTCTGATCACTCCAAGCTTACAACTTGGCCAAATCAAAGAAAGCTCCCCAGACAGGGTTAATGTGAGTAGGGGTGGGGTGGCAAAATTACAGTAAATGCTGCTCATTATTTATAACTTTTTCTTTTTAAAAGTGTATCAACACATTTTAGAATACAGTACAGGTACGTTCAATAACTAATGTGTGTTAGTGAAGATATGACTAAAAGTTTAATGTGCAACCATCAAAACCATTCCACAATACTTACTTCTAAAGCTACAGAAGCTTCATATCCAAGAGCATTATTCAAGAGAGAGAAATTTTCATCCCAAGTAAACCGCCTTGGCCTCTTATGTCCTACAGCCAAATCTCTTAGGTAACTAGTAAAACGCGTGCATTCTCTCATGGTACATTTGAGAGCATTATCTAACTCAATCTGTGCTGCAGCATACCTCTCCTGCAAACCATTACCAGAGCAAATAGATTAAATATAAACTTAATAAATCCTCAACAATAATACAGAATTGTAATATACAGCAAATCTATACTATTTGAAATATATCTTAATTCATGACAATTTGGCTATTCCAAAATACAGTACAGGTACAGGCCTTGCGCACACATGCACACACACAAAAGCTCCAGTATTTCCCATAATGAATAAAACTACTTATGATCATTATAATTTAAGTCAGGCACGGGCAACACGCGGCCCAATCCTTGTCTTTGTGTGGCCCATGGAGCGATTGAGAAATTTTATTTCACGTGGCCTGCAGTTCAGGTAGATGCAGCCAGCTTATGATAAAGCAATACGCACACATGCACACACACAAAAGCTCCAGTATTTCCCATAATGAATAAAACTACTTATGATCATTATAATTTAAGTCAGGCACGGGCAACACGCGGCCCAATCCTTGTCTTTGTGTGGCCCATGGAGCGATTGAGAAATTTTATTTCACGTGGCCTGCAGTTCAGGTAGATGCAGCCAGCTTATGATAAAGCAATATTTATTAAAAGATATATATCTATCTTGATAATATCACACGGGAAAAGGGAAACAACGGAGCACCTTAGCTTTCGTCTTTATTCAAGACATCTTCAGAGGCAACTGGATTACATGGACAGAGAGAGGCTTAAATATACAGGGTGACCTTAAAAACATGAGGTAAGGTCATAATGATGTCATCCACTAATCCCCACACCAACACACACGTAGAGGAGCTTAAGAGAAGGGGGGTGACGTGACTAGTCCGGTCAGGTCAAAAATAAGGGACCCACTAAATAACTATCATACATCTAGATCAAAGGTTTTCAAAGCATTTCAAACCTTGGGCCACTGACAAATAAATTTATGTAACATATTTTCAGTTTTGAAATGACCATCACTAAGGTTTATTGATTTTAATTCCTTAATCAAACTAGCTTCAACCAGAAGTCCTTCTGTGACAAGATGATTTAAATACTTCTACGCTTTTCCCAAGCAATGGGATGATTATTATTCCTAACATGAACGAACAAGGCACTGCTTTCAGATGCTGTTCTGATATTGTACTTATGTTGTTTGATTCTGAGCTGCAGTGTTTTTCCTGTCTGTCCTACATAATTACAATTACATTTGCTTCATGGAATACAATAAACACTTCCATTTACATTCAAAATTGTGCTATTTCTTATTAACATATTGGTAATGGTTGAGTCATACTTGAAAACAACATTAATATTTAGTAGCTTGAGGGACCGAACTAACGGGACAAATTCATTACGATAGGGCAGTCAAAATATTCTTAAGTGTAGGAATTTGCCTGGTTTGAGAGGAATGAAAGGATTTTTTAGCCCTTTTAAAACAACGATCAACAAACACAGAAGGGTACCCGAGTTTCTGTGCAATGGAACGAATGTGTTTCAATTCATCGTCAATAAATTCAGTCACAAATACGCAGACATCTTAAGAACATAGCAGAAAAAACTGACATTTTGGTAGACTCCAGGTGATTCGATAAAAAGTGAATGAAACTGTCTACCTGTGTGGGCTTTCTATATATATATATATATATATATATATATATATATATATATATATATATATATATATATATATATATATATATATATATATATATATATATATATATATATATATATATATATATATATATACAGTCAACCCTCACTTTACGCGGTCCCACATTCCGCGTTTCTACGTTTACGCGGTGCTCTGCCAGAACCCAGGATGCTCACATTCCGCGGTGGGTGTACCCCTTTACACGGGTGAAGTATAATTTTTTTATTTAGCTCATAAAATTCACACAAATTATCCGGCCAGAATATAATTTACATTGCTGGAATTCTTACAATTTGATGATCATTTTGAATATAAACATCATAGATTTTGCATTAGACATACAAATTTTAGATATAATGTTTACTCCTGAGTAAATATGTTATCTTTTGTGCAAAATATATGATATTTATATTCAAAATATTCCTGGTCTTACAAGAAATCCAGCAATGTCAATTATATTATCCTAACTTTAGTCTGATTTATTATTTATTACTAAAAAGGTAAATAGTCTGGTTTTCCCACACATTTATCTGGTAGGGAGGGTTGGTGGGGCGTGGGGGGGAGGGAGGGACCGACCGACCTTCTGGCACGGTGTGAAGAATATTTTTTTTTATTAACTGAAGATATTTGTTTTAGCTCATAAAATTCATATAAATTACCTGGCCAGAATATAATTTACATTGCTTGAATTCTTACAATTTGATGATCATTTTGAATATAAACACCATAGATTTTGCATTAGACATACAAATTTTAGATATAATGTTTACTCTGAGTAAATATGTTATCTTTTGTGCAAAATATATGACATTTATATTCAAAATATTCCTGGTTTTACAAGGAATCCAGCAATGTCAATTACATTATCCTAACTTTAATCTCAGGTATTATTTAATACTAAATGTTAAAATCTAGATTTTTCACCCAACCTTTCTCTTGAAGGGAGGATTGGTGGGGGTTGGGGGAGGGTTGGGAAGGAACGACCATCTGGCCCGGTTGGAAGAGGGGGGGGAGGCAAGGTGGGGTACTTTGATTGACAGATAGTGTCGTGAAGAATATTTTTTTTTTATTAACTTAAGATATTTGTTTTAGCTCATAAAATTCATACAAATTACCCGGCCAGAATATAATTTACATTGCTGGAATTCTTACAATTTGATGATCATTTTGAATATAAACATCATAGATTTTGCATTAGACATACAAATTTTAGATATAATGTTTACTCTGAGTAAATATGTTATCTTTTGTGCAAAATATATGACATTTGTATTCAAAATATTACTGGTCTTACAAGGAATCCAGCAATGTCAATTATATTATCCTAACTTTAGTTTGAGGTATTATTTATTACTATACCTGGTTTTCCCCCAAAAATTTCTCAGAGAGGGAAGAGCCAGGGAGTGTAGTGTGAGAAGAGGGGGAGGGAGTTGAGTCCATTATTTGAATGGACATAAACTTGGCGACTGTATTTCTCTATTTCTCTTAAGTATTTACTGTGTGCATGTACCATCATAAAATTAAGATGTTATTTTTACTAGAACATAGGTATTGTGTTGGAAAAGGTGGAGTTTGGGGGCAGCTGGTCTCTATTTCATTTAATCCCCTATGTTATGTTATGTTATTCACTTTACGCGGTACGCTGTGGGTTACATTAACCGCGTAAAGTGAGGGTTGACTGTGTGTGTGTATATATGTGTGTGTATATATGTGTGTGTGTATATATATGTGTATGTATGTATGTATGTATATATGTATGTATATATATATATATATATATATATATATATATATATATATATATATATATATATATATATATATATATATATATATATATATATATATATATATACACACACAGTTGTACCCCACTTAACGCGGTCAATAGAACCCAGAGGGTCCCGTGTTAATTGAAATCCGCGTTAAGTGAACAACAGAACATATGGGATTAATTCCAATAGAAACCGGCCCGACCCCCAAACTCCACTTTTTGAAGACACATAACTATGTTGTAGTAAAAATAACATCTTAATTTTATGATGGTACATGCACACAATTAATACTTAAGAGAAACAGAGAAATACAGTCGCCAAGTTAATGTCCATTCAAATAATGGACTCACCTCCCTCCCCCTCTCACATTACACTGCCGGCTCTTCTCTCTCAGAGAAATTTTTGGGGGAAAACCACTAAATTTTAATAAATAATACCTCAAACTAAAGTTAGGATAATACAATTGACATTGCTGGATTCCTTGCAAGACCAGGAATATTTTGAATATAAATGTCATATATTTTGCACAAAAGATAACATAGTTACCTAGAGAAAAATTTTTATCTAAAATTTGTATGTTTAATGAAAAATATATGATGTTTATATTCAAAATGATCACCAAATTATAAGAATTCCAGCAATGTAAATTATATTCTGACCGGGTAATTTGTATGAATTTTATGAGCTAAAACAAATATCTTCAGTTAATAAAAAAAAAAATAATCTTCAGGACACTATCTGTC